ACTGCTGAAGTGTCGACCATTTCTGGCCGGCAACTTTCAGCGTCATTAAGCTGCTGCGCCACCGCGTCCCCATAACTGGATGATACTGGCATGTTTTTAACATATCTTGTTTTTACCATAAAATATATATGCCTGTTCTATGGGATTCCCCACCGTCATGAATTTTGTCATGGAAACTAAAGATGCCACTGCTTTTTGTAATAACATTATTTGGAATACAAATTTGGTATGCTTATAAATTGGGCCAGAAATCTGATCTGGACTCTTTGCCTCATCTCCCATGGGTTTTGCTGCCTAAAATGAAGGACAAGATGATACCTCTTCAATCCATGTGCAGATGCTGATCAGATTGTTCATCAAATCCTACTTCCTAAGGGCAGCAGTCTGGCTTAGGGATAAGTGTAGGCTTGGCTATGCAGCTCTGTCCTCTAATTCCTAGCAACTGCTTCTTCCTCACCTGCCCTGCAGCTTCTGGCAAGCAAGGCAACTCTTGCCTCCCTTTGCCTCTTTGTAGGGTCAGTCTCAACAGGTCTACCTGGAATGACCTTCTCATTCAGGCCTCTGGCTGTTGCTACTGTGATGGCAGGAAGCAAAACCCTCTCACTGCTGCTTGAAATGCTGCTAAGGCACCATTTCAAGTGTCAGTGAGGCCAAGAAATATACATTCCCCAGCAGAACTATTGTCTGAAATTTGAAGCACCAGTTTTAAGCACCAGAGCAGGATAAATAAAGATGAAGATGAAAAGGGGAGACGATTTAAAAAAAAAAAGAGATGAAGTAGAAAGGCATAGAGCCACTTCTCAAATTATATTAAAGGAGCAGTAGGAAAACAGAAATGATTGCATTAGCTAAGCTATTTTCCTGGGGACATAACATGGCTTCAAATGGGCTTTGGCTGGGCACATGATTATTTTCCTTTTTTAGAGTAGGAGCATCATACATGTGATGATTCTAGTTGTGAATTAAATGGAACATAATCACCAAGAAATCTCAAAGACTGTGAGGAATTTCCATGCCAAGACTGATCCAAGACATCTTGTGCAATATGAAAATGCTTCATATGATTAGAAATATGTTTTCTACAAAATAAAAGGTGCAACTCATTATGTACTCAGTGGTGAGAGAAACAGCAAGAAAGTTCAGGGACAAGAATAAGATAGAATGCATCTTAATGATTTCACTGGCATACCTACAGTAAATATCAATAGAGGTTTGACATTATTGATTGATATCCATTTTGCATAATTTCCCAGCCCAGTCAAAGCAGAAATTACTGTAGCAAATTCTCAAATTATTAATCAGGATTCTAAAGCAATCATTTCCATATGAATGTGCCCACTAAGAGTCAAGAGTCAAGCTTGACTCTTGAAGGCTTTACATTTAGAAAAGGTAATCCTTATTTGCTAACTCTTTGCTTTTGAATTTAGTACCATGCAACTAATTTTCTGATGATTTTGCAGACCATTTGAATGAATACAGATGACGATATCCCATAGAGCAAGAGACCACAGTGAGCATTTACATTGTCTTCTGACTCACTATAATGCAAATGCCCCCTCCTTCAGATATGTGGAAAACATGTAAAGGCAGGTTTTATGGCTTCTTTTTTGAAGGTACTCACTCTGAAACATGTATTTTCAATTAATATTTTCTCCCAGTTAATTACTGCATATCGTTTTGTCGCACTTACTGTAGAAACAAACTTTTGACTGTTAGATGAATAGGAATCCAACATGAAGCTATCAAGAGGGCACATGTTTTTCTTGGTACCTCCTGAATCTTTAATTGACTCCTTTTGAAGTTTGCTGAACTTGATATAGCAGGAACTTTGAAAACAGGAGCTGTTGTTCGCCTACGAAGTATTTGTGAAATGTTTGTGAACTTTCTAATTGCTAAATTACAAAGGTTTCAGGTAGCAAATATAAGATATGCTTTGGTTGTCAGTTTTCAGAGGTATTAATGTAAACCAGGAGATCCAGAGGTAAATATGAGCAAATTCATAAGTGCAGAAATCAATGTGATACCCTTTTTCTACTTGATTGTGCCTTTGGGGATTTCTTGTGGTCCTTGGTTACACAGTTCCTAAAGCTAGTTGTTGCAATATCTTTGCTGCAAAGTGTCACTCTTCAAATATAATTTCCCAATATGGTCTAGACTAAGGCTTGATCAGGTTCAGAATCAAAACAGGAAACCATCTACACATATCTTAAGATCTTTTGAGAAAATATATGAGATATAAATATTATAATAAATTAATTGCCAGATATGTCCCTGAAACATGGACTTTCAATTATTGAAGGATTATATCACTTCATTTCCCAGTTCTTGGAATGGGTGACGTAATAGCAAACTGGCAGGCAATCCCACATGTATTTATTTGGAGGTAAAAGCTGCGTTGAGTGAGATTTACTCACTTAGAAGTGGGTTTAGAATTGCAGTCCAAGAGAAACTATAAAGCATACATGTACTACTTACACGATGATCATCTGCAAGTTGTCTAGTGATATGAGAAGCACTTCGTCGAGATCTTCTAGGGTGACTCTTATGTCTAAATAGATAATGATTTTCAAGTGATCCAATCTGTAGAGCACAGAACAATTTTAAGATATTTTTCCCATAATGCAGAACAGCAAGAAACAATCAAAACTGCCCAGAAATGCTTTCAGCTTAAGGACTGAAAGCATGCAGCAATATCTAATTGCCTAATAAAATGTGTTTTAAAAACAAAGGGACAAGAAGCAGAATTATGTTCTACCAGTATTTTCAAATCTTGTGTATATTTGTGCATTGAATTGAAAGTGCATTGCTTTTATTTAATGGTAAAGTGCACCAAATAGGATATCTTGAAAATTGGAACATGTGATTAAATTTATTTTAAGAATAAATAGAAACAAATAGGACACGTTCATCTGGAGGAGTTTCTGTTATCAGAATGGCAAAAGTAATATCAGGGTATTGTGTGGTAGGCTCCTTCCTTTCATTAATTGCACAATGTCAGAATGCATGCACAAAAGAGGTGGGGCTTGCTTTTGTCATTTTGCTCCCTCCCCCCGCTGTTGCCACTGAAGTAGCTTCTAGCCACATTATATGTGGGGCTAGTAAGTCTGTTGTTTATAGCAGATTATCCTTCTGACTTTCTCCTCATCCTGAATAAAGCTTGAGTAGACGTAACTACATTTTCTCACTCCAGTTCTTACAGAACAGTCTTAATCATGTTTACTCAGGAATAAATCCCACTAATTTCAATAGAATTGACTTGGCTCCATTTCCCTCATCTGTCTACCATGCGCATTGCAAAACTGGAGGGATATTGCTACCACCACCCACTATGGTTGCTACTTTCTTAAAACTTCAATTTTTTTACTTTTCGCATGCTTCTGTTTGTAAACCTTGAAAATTCATTTCGAAATGGTTCTTCCCACTGTCATAAACTTTTTCCATCAGTGAAAGTATTTTATTCTCAGACATGTTTATTGTTGTCAATTATAGAATCATAGAACTACAAAAATAGAAGAATCCATATATGCCCTTAAATCCAATTTACTGATAAAAGCAGGAATTCAAATTATAGCATCCCCAACAGATGGTTGTCTGGCCTCTGCTTGAAGGAATCCAATGAAGGGGAGCTCATCATCTCTCTGGTTCCCTTATTATTAGAAAATGGGGTGGGCTGGTACATTTAATATACTTTCTGGTAATTTAAATTCATTATTCTAGATCTTGTACTTAGAAATAGAAAATAGAAAATAAGTCTTGACCTTCTTCTGTGTGACATTTGTTCAAGTATTTAAGAATGCAATCATATCCTTGATTAGCCTTAGCCTTCTCTTCTCAAGGTTAAACATACCCAGCTCTCTCAATCTCACTTCATAGGACTTTTTGTTGTTGTTGTTGTTCCATTATTATTTTCGCTGCACTTCTCTGAACCTGCTCCAATTTCTCTAAATCTTTCTTAAAGTGTGGCGCCCAGAGCTGAGGTGGGGTCTTACTAAAGAAGAATAACTTTATTATTTCCCATGAGTTGGAAACCATGTTTCTGTTGATGTAGCTTAAAACTGCATTTTCCCTCTTTCTTTATCACACTGTTGATTCATATTCAGTTTTTAATTTACTACAGAATGTAGTGGAAATCCTGATCTAGTGTCTACAGTCTGTCAGGTTCTGGATGAGGAGAAACAGGCTCAGACTCAACCCAAGCAAGATGGAATGATTTAATTTAGAAGTCTGCTATTCTGGGACAGTACCAAATTTGACTGTGGATGGGGTTGGCCCCATGGAGAACAAACGTGCAACTTGGGGTCCTCCTGGAAGAGCAGGTGGAAGCCATGGCCAAGAAGGCCTTTGCCCAGCTGAACAGAAGGCACTGATTCATGCATTTGTCATCTGTCATTTGGATCATTCTAATATACTTTGCTTGGGACTGCCCTTAAAAAGCGCATAGAAGCTTCAACTAGAGCAACAGGCAGTGGTCTTTGTGTTTATGGGAGAGCCTCCTTACTGCATTTTCTATTGGTATATTTCTAAGTGCAATTCAAGAGGATAATTATCACCTATACAGCTAAGCAGCTTGGTATCTATGAGACTTTCTCAGATCAGTTCTGCCCAGCAGTCCAAATGACCAGAAAATGACTGCTGAAGGTCCCCATCTACCAGAAGGTTCAGCGAATGGGAGCCCAAAAGCAAGCATACTCTGTGTGGGCTCCACTCTTCTGAAAAGTTCTCCCCCCACCTTCCCTGCCCTAAGTGAGCATTCACTCCCATTCTTATGGCTTTCCCAAAACTTGTTAAAACATGCCTGTTTCAGAGACTAGTCAACTATGGCTCTTTGGTGATAGATGATTGATATGATGTTTATGGATGATGTTTTTTGTACTATAATTGAAGATATTCTTGCATTGGTATCATATTACTGCTCCTCTTTATATTCACTGCTTAGTGTTTATTCAGACTGAAGATCTGTCTGTCCATCCATCCATCCATCCATCCATCCATCCATCCATCCATCCATCCTTTGAGTCAGTCTTAACTGCTGGTGTCCACATGGGTAAGTCCATGAGGTTTTCCAGGCAATGGTTTTCATATGTGCTTTGCCACTGGCCTTTTTCTTAGGGTTCAGAGAGTGACTGGCCCAAAGTCACCCAGTTGTCTTCATGTTTAAGGCAGGACTAGAACTCACAATCTCCTGGCTTATAAAATTTAGCCTCTATATTATCTATTTAGCCTCTACATTAAGCTGGCTGTCAAAGTAATATTAGAATGTATAAATATAAAAATGAAATACTATTCCAAGCTTTTC